ACACACACACACACACACACACACACACACACACACACACACACACAAACACAAACACAAACACAAACACACACACAAACACAAACACAAACACAAACACAGACACACACACTCTTAAGGCTGCAGATGTCTACATTACCCCCAAGTTTTGACTTAAATCTTCAGAAACTACATTTTTTCTAAGTTTCCACTTCACTGAGTGAGAAATGGAAGAAAACAAACCGTGCTCATTAAAAGTACACTTGAAAGCTAAACGTATCTCTCATGCAAACCACACACACACCCCCCCCCCCCCCCTCTTCCCTTTGATCCTAGAAACAAACTAAAAATAGAAATGATGCCTCACTACATCCATATGTTCAGATAGCAAAATACTGATGCTATCATAGCTCATGTCTTTTTCTTTGAAACACACACACACACACACACTGGGGGAGATTTAGTGACAGTTACATTAACATGTGGCTGTTAGTATCCGAGCAGTAACAGTACACCTGCGTGTGAGCACACACACACAAAAAAAATTGCGGTTACGCATCTTTTCAAACCCCCCTAGGACAAGTGTTCATTGTTAGTCCCGTGATCCCTGGAGGTCAAAGTTCACGTGGAGGGTTGGGGGGGGGGCAGGAAGTGACCAGACGAGAGTTGTGACTGAGTGGTACCTAAAGACGAGGCAGTGTGTGGTGTGAGCCTCCCTCCCTTAGCTAAGGTGTAACGGTGAGCCCAACAGTCGCAGACAGAAGACGAAAAAAAAGTTGTGCAAAATCCCTGCTTAGTAACACACACACACACACACACACACACACACACACACCCACACACACACCCACACACACACACACACCCACACACACACACACACCCACACACACACACACACACACACACACACAGACACCTGACCATCGCTCATCCATACTCCAGTGTGTATAAGTAAAACCCACTGGAATATACACAGTGTAAAAGTACTGAGATGTGCACACATAGACACACACACACACACACAGACACACACACACCGGCTGACAGGGCTTATAAAAGATTAGCTCTAGTGAAGAGATAAGATCCTGGCGTTAGTATGGTCAGGACTGTCTCATCACTCCACCACAGAAGAAGAAGAAAAAGAGCAGTCCTAAGGGAGGAGGAGGTGAGTGAACACAAGAGGACAAGGGGGGGGACTGGCTCCTGTCCCACCTCTGTGGAAAAACCTGTAAACACCACGGCTACTCTGAGTCTGAAGACATCAGTATGGAACACACGGGACTAGGCAGCTTGGAGCACTGACACAAAGAGACGGGGGAGGGAGGAGTAGAGGAGTGTGTTAAGGTGTGGGGGTCAGGCTGGGACTACGACCTGGCTTTGAGTTGGTTATGAAGGGATAAATGGGATAAGACATCTCCTTGTTCATTTCGAAGCTTCTTAAGGAGCCAAAGTGAAACAGAGACACAGAGAGAGGGGGGGGAGGAGGGGTTACTCTGGGGCAAGTCGTCCCCCCATCACCCCCCCCTCACAAAAGGAAAGGGTTGGTGGTTCCGCCGGGCTGCGCCCCGGCCTGGGCTGGCATACTCATCAGGGGCTGTGGGATGGACATGGAGGACGGGATCGTATTCATCCCAACGCCTCCGATCCCCATTCCGGGCATCACGCGGGCCATGCCCGCAACGGGCTGAGCTGGCACCGAGGAGACGGGCTCCACCAAGCCGAAGCCGGAGGGCATGGGGCTGACCCGCATCTGGTTGAGGGTGGGGGGTGCTGGCTGGGTCACTTGGAAGGGGTTGGCGTGGGCTGCTGGAGCCGGAGTAGAGCCGCCTGAACGAAAAGGAAGAGGGCTGGAGTCACTGAGCTCACAGAGTACTTTGTTAGCGCTCAGTAACAAACAGTTTAAACACGGTGCTACTGCTGCTATACTGACATTTTATGACTTCAGCTATGACTCATCCCTCTGCCCTCAGAGTTCACCGGTGTAGACGGGGCCGGGTAAATGATTCAGCATAGAACTACGTGGATGGGCGTGTTCACGTCTCTCGGCTTAGCGACTACACTTCCTGGCTCAGCACACTCTACCGTCTAACCCGTGTGTTGTGCCGTTTGTACGTTAACATGAAATAACTTATTCCTCCCACCTGTTGAAGCTAAGAACGGGTTGACGACGGGCGGCGGCTGGGCTGGTTTGGTCACCAGAGAGTCCAGATTGACCAGAGCCGCATTGGGACCCAGGAAGGACTCTGGAGTCTTTCTGGTCGGGTTCGTAATGCCGGACATGGACATGGAGCTGGGCAGCGGGTCGAAGAGGTCCAGGCTGCCGCTGCTGGTGAGACTGGCCACGCCCCCGTCGCCTGGGAAAACAAACAGCAGTTGTGTTGATGAAAAACTGTTACTGAACGTCTCTTTGGGGAACAAAAACATAACACAACGCTGAGGCATCAGGAAGAGAATGTTTCTTATCTTCTGACTCAAGGCTGGTGTGAGAAAGGGTTGTTTATATTTGTGATAATGAAACTAAGGACACTCACATTTTGCATTCTAAGAGGTCAAATAGACTATTCCTATTCTTGCTTTGAGTAAACTCGCTCACTCGTCACCGGCTTGTACGTGAGCGACCACACTAAACTGGGTTGATGCAGTAAAATGATCAGAAGATGCTTTTATGTGAGGACTTTAGAGGCAGACAGCCTGTCGATTCGTTTCTTTACAGCAGTGGAGACGTTCACTCGCACACGAGCACGCCAGCAGCAACATACACAAGAGGAAATGTCAAAGAGGAAAACTGTCTTCTCAGAACAGAATAGCAGAGCAGAGCCTGAGAAAGGCTCATGATCAGATCAGACAGGCCTGGTGTGTATTAGAGCCCCGTACATCCTGCAGATTTAGGCTGATTCAAACAGCAACTGGAGTCCGTGTCCTCTTCACACCGTGTGGTAGGGATTGCGTTTGTGTTCCCTCTCACCTTGTCCTTGACAGTATCAGAGGTGTTTGTGCTGAGCTGGAGCAAAAGTTAAGACGCCAATGTCCCCCTCCCACACCCACAGACAGCATGACCACATGGTTACAACAAAACACACTCAAGACCAGAACCAAACCGTTCACTGGAACCCTCTCACACACCAACCTGAATGGAGTTGTGAATGATGTATTTTAGAGTATCTGTTGTTGGTTCAGATGACAGCAGATCTAAAAAGGATTCCATGAACTGGATGGCACCGGTCTAATAATGCATTTAGCCACAAAAACAGAAAAGCTGCTCACATTTCACCACAGTGATAGAGGACCAGACCGGAGCAAACAGCGATTCTTTCCAACATTTGATACGATTACGGCAACATTTGATCGCATTTTTGCTCAGGCCTGGTGATGCTTACATAAAAGTACAAGACATGTCTGTGTGTGTGTGTGTCTGTGCCCCCGCAGAGATAACGTATCTGCAGATAGGCGGCATCATTTCAGACACCGACAACACAGACTCTGTGTCATTAGAGAGACGAAGACAAGGGTGAGTACCAGTGGGGACAGAGGAGGAAGAGCGCAGGCTGTCAAACTCTGAGAAGTCCTCTTTAGACGTACCGTTGGATGCATTGAACAGGTCAAAGCTACCTGGAAGGGGACAATGCACGCACACATGCACACGCACACGCACACACACACACACACACACACACACACACACACACAACAGATGGAAACACAACACACAAGTATGAATGAGTATGGATAATTGGGTAAACTTATGGAGAAAAATAACCACAATAAGCAAGTGAACGCATGCAGATGTGCGTGAGCATTTGTGGCTGGGTTTGTCCCTTTTGACACTGCAAGTGTTCGAGACGAGTCAGCTGTTTATTAGACTGAGAACTCAAAGAGTGCAAACGTCCATGAATACTTAACAAATCTCCAAATATCTTTCAGACTCAAAAACCTAATTCGCAGACAGACTCGGTGGCCGAACAGAGTTCCAGCTGGCTGGTGGATGTTGTGAATGTCCTGGTGACGGATGCCGGTGGACAGAAGTGACGCTCACCTGGGTTGGAAGTCTTAGGGCGGGTGGCTGCGGAGCCCCAGGGGTCGGCGGCAGGAGTGGAGTTGGATGCCCAGGGATCACTGCTCTTCATGGGCGGGACAGAAGGAGTGGCCCCCCACGGGTCCACTGGGGCTGCTGGCTTAGGTGCAGACCCTGGGGACAGGTTCACAGTGGGGGGGGGGGGGGGGGGGGGGG